CCTCTTGTCCCCGTCGTTTTCCCTTTCCCCACCTCCCGTCCCTCTGATTCCCCCTCTTGTCCCTCCCCCCTTCCCCCTTGTCCTTCCTTCCGGTTTCCCCCCCTGTTTTCCCCTATGTTGGAATATACGCTCAGACCCTAAAGCGTATAGCGTTTACACGCTTGCGTTTATACTCAAAACGCTAAAAAGAAATCTTGTGTATACGGAAAGATGCGGAATCTCCTGGTGAGCATTTCGCCGAAGTCGAGATGCATTTCGGTGGTCTAGGGAAGCGGGAATCTGCCTTCAAAGTTATCAGTCACGTCTGGCAGTTCAGATCTACGATTTCATTTAGTACCGCCGAATATATCTCAGCGGACAAGCGAGCCCGCCCAGGGGAGCTCGCTGCCCACGGGCTAAAAAAATAAACCCCAGACGGGCATGCATCCGGTCAGGGAGCCTCAACCCTAAACGCGGGGAGGCATGGTGTTTAGGGTTGAGGCTCCCTCGGATGGCATGCCATCCGATGGGGTTTTAGTTTTTTTCTGCCCGGGGCAGCATGTCGTCAAGTCGTCAGAGGGTCGTCAGGCTTGACGACCCGTTTCCGCTGAGATTTTCCACATTGAAACCCTTCCCATCTACGAACTTCAACCTGTCAAATGTCCCCCCAACAAACCCCACTCACGCTACTTACCAGCCAGCCCAACTTCACTCGTCATTTCTAGTTTTCTTTCCCGCTTCCAACAGTCCGATTCCTACTCCTTCTAGCGATAATGTTTACTACACATCCCACCCCAATCGCCATTCAGATTTAGGAAAATGCTACGAAAATCTTAGTTAGAATAGGAATTACCTTCCCGATGTTGAGCACGACGGTTTTTTCACCCTACCTAGGAAAAAATTTTCCCTGCCCAGAAAAGCGTATGTCCAAACTGACCCTGAGCGTATAGCGTATACACGATAGCGTATATACGATACGCGTGTATACACTAAACACGTATATTCCAACATAGGTTTTCCCTCCCTTTCCCCTAGTCCTTTCCTCCGTTTTCCCCTTCTCCCTCTCCCTCTCCCTCCCTCTCCCTCCACGCTTCTCGCCCTTATCCCCGCACACGTCCGCCTCCCTTCCCTCCCTTCCCTCCCTTCTCTCACTGAACCCTCTCTTTCCTCCCCTCCCTCCTTCCATTTCTTCTAATTTCCGCCCTTCCCCCTCTTCGCCTCTCCTTCCCTCCTTCATTGTCCCTCTCTCTTCGCAACTCTTCCCTTCCCTTTCTGCTGGCCCCTTCGCTCCTTTCCCTCTCAGCCCCTCTCCTCTTTTCCCTCTCAGCCCCTCTCCTCTTTTCCCTCTCAGCCCCTCTCCTCCTTCCCCTCTCAGCCCCTCTCCATTGGCAAAAACCCTATGCCAAGTTTGGACGAATTTTGATTGCGATTGTCTTCGCGTAAAAAAATCCGGACCCAATTTCGACCGACGGTTGGAGTCATTTGATAGGAGATCCGAGACACATCTCGCGACAAGGTTTGGTGCGGTTCAAGTTCCAATTGGGCACGCGAGCTTTTCCGGATGACTTTCGGGCGCAATCCGTTTTGTTGCAAATTCGTGACCAAATTATTCAAAACTAAATTCTGAATTTGTTCATTTTGGAAATTGATGATTTCAAAATTGCATTTATTATTGCGATTTACAAGAACCATTATTCAGCATTCTAGCAACAAGCAGTCTTAGCACCAGGTCAAGTAGCCTACGCACTGGCGGGCCTTGAAAGCGCCCGGTGGGCAAGGACGACATCTCCAAGGTCGCCGTCGTCGATGAAGAACTTGTTTGGAAAGACGAACGCACCCACAGCCGGATCGTGGGGGATCCTCCGCTCCACGACAGCAAAATGGATCATCTGTTTGACCTTTTCGCACCACTCCTGGTAGTATGGCCTGTTCTGCTCCGGCTGGCTACTGATTCGCTTGCGACGCTTATCCTGCAGAAGGGGCCACTCGATCTGCAATGTGGTGTAGGGTTGGGTGGATGGTTTATGAGGAGGGTAGGTTATGGGTAAATGAGGCAACTGAAAGCGGTGATGCAGTCGTCACTATCTACGTAACTGCAAAGGCCTAATCGACCAGGGTTTAAGCTGAAGTACAGGCAAGGGGTTAAGGGGATGAGGCATGGGGGTACAAACACATATCTACATCCTTACCGAAAACAGGCCCCATGCCACCATGCGGCTCTTGAACTTGGTGAACACCGCCCCGCCCCTCTTGAAGGAGAGCTTGAACTGAAAAGCGAACAAGGGGTTGCTGAAGGGTGTCCCGGTGGCCTTGTCAAAGTGCCAGTTGAGGGCCCACTGTTCTGCTTTTTGGCAGGGAGGGTATGGGTTGGAAAGGGTTTTGTAGAGAGATCAAATGGGGGGATGAGAGTCAGGGTGAGCCACATCGCACGGTCATATGTAGCTGCCAACTGGCATATGGTAGGGCATATTGTGTTTTCGAGCTGCACTGCACATACCATCTCTGTACTCGGCTACGAGTTGATCGTCGTCGAACCAGGTCGTTGGGTGTAGCTCAGTGGGCAGGCTATCCACGAGATGGCTGTAATCGGCAAGGCCCATGCCGGTGGATGCTGCTGGCCTGAGGGTGGAGTTGATAGTTGACCTTGTTGAGGACAGCTGGTGGTTGAAGACTCCCATGGTTGACTTGTCATTGTGCAACCACAGCAGCTTCATTGCCTCGAGCCCTTCTGCAGACAAGTGGACAGAGAACGCTTCGAACACTTCCTCCGGTGCAGGGTAGTACAGTATTTTCTCCGGGGGGTTCAGAAACAGGAGCTGAGAGCACACTAAGTAGGCTTTGTTCTGCGCAGGGGTGTAAGGTATACAAGACGACATGGGAGAGAGAAACCAGCAGTTATGAGGGTGGCCGCGTGACCATGGGATGGTGACTAGCAACACTGTGTGAACTTGCCACGTCACATTCTGCGCCATCCGACACGTCCACCAACAACCCGGCCCACTTGCCACGTCACACCCCCCTACCACAAGCCACGTCACCCCCCACCCACCTGACACGCCTCGCTTCATCATGCGCAGTGGTCAGGTGTACCATTTCTAACTGCCACGTCAGACCCAACCCTCACCTTCCGCCACGTCACACCCTCTTTGTCCGCCACGTCCACCAACCAGCCCCACGTGCCACGTCATACCCTCCTGCATCCGCCACGTCCACCAACAACCAGCCCCACGTGCCACGTCACACCCACCCACCCCATGCCACGTCACCCCCCACCCACCTGACACGCGTCGCCTCGTCAGTGGCCGCTCCTGTGTACCATTCCAAACCTCCACGTCATCCCCAACCCTCACATGCCGCCACGTCACACCCTTTTGCATCCGCCAACAACCCGCCCTACTTGCCACGTCAACTAGCCAGCAACAGCGACGTCACCCCCCACCCACCTGAGACGCCTCGCTTCGTCATGCGCCGCTCACGTGTACCCTTTTAGGGTGCCACGTCATCCCCAACCCTCACCTTCCGCCACGTCACACCAACCTGCATCCGCCACGTCAGCCCCAACCCTCACATTCTGCCACGTCACACCCTTTTGCATCCGCCAACAACCCACCCTACTTGCCACGTCACACCCCCCACCAAGAGCCACGTCACCCCCCACCCACTTGAAACGCCTCGCGCCGTCATGCGGCACTCCCTTGCACCCTTTCACACCGCCACGTCATATTCCAGCCCTCACCTTTTGCCACGTCACACCCAACCCGCATCCGCCACGTCCACCAACATGCCGCGCCACTTGCCACGTCACACCCTCCCACCCCATGCCACGTCACACCCACCCACCCCATGCCACGTCACCCCCCACTCACCTGATACGCGTCGCCTCGTCACGCGCCGCTCCCGTGTTCCCTTCGAAACCGCCACGTCAGCCCCAACCCTGCCCTTGTTGCCACGTCAACCCCAACCCGCCCCATGTGGCCCGCCACATACCGGGAATGGGTTTGTCTCCTGCAACACTAGCACTCGTGCCTTGTCCACGGCACTCATCGGCGGCGGGGTACCAGCCATAGGCAGGGCTGCCGACCCGCTGGCATAGCTGGCAGGTACTCCACGACGTAGGCCGAGCTGTGCAAACATGGCGTACATCTCAGACCGCAGCGCCTGGAACTCCTCCCGTGTAACAAACTGCTCGTGCTCCGCACTTTCACCTAGGGCACCCATGTGCGGAGGAAAAGGGTGTGAAGAAACCCCCCTCTGGCCAAGGGGGTCAACGTCTTCTGCAGCAGTCCCGTGTGCCCTCACACTATCACGCTGGCGAGAAAAGGGGAGCTCAGGGAAGGGATTGGCATGACTGCCTGCCTGATGCCCGCGCGAAGGATCGGCGAGAGGGGAGACCGCCCTGCCCCGGACAGGAGAAGCGTGGAGTTGCCGAAATTGGTATGAGGGTGAGGCGAGTGGGGACTGCGTGATGGGGGCGAGTGGAGGGGATTCGGATTCTTGTCCTCTTGGCGCGTCTGGTGCCGTCGCAGCGACTTTGCTCGGGCCAGCCCATGGCGTGTAGTACCTTGGTGCTCCGGAGGAAAGCGGTGTAACACTCGCTCTTCCGGCAGCCTTCGTTAGATGCATTCGTTGCACGCATACGGGCGGCCGAATGCCTATAACGCGAGGGGCTGAGATATAGAGGGAGCCGGAAAAAAAAAAATAGAGTAGATCGGTTTCAAGGCGGGGCCAGACATGCATGCATATTCTGAAAGGTTTGAATCTAGATCGGGTTCAGGGTTGTACTGGTTTTGAGCAAGAGGGTTTACCTTGCTTGGCAGATTCGTCGACCTTCTCCTTCCCTGCATGGGAGAAACAATGTGAAAAAAGGGTGTTTTTTGGCACGGTTTAGCAGATGGTTCAACACGTCACGCCAGTTTTATTGGACACAATGCTCACCTTTCTGCTGTCCCTTCGGTTTTGGGGCAGCCTGCGCCTTCTCGTTGCCACCTTTCCGCGGGGTGCTTTGGCGGACGCTGCGACGTTTACTGGTACCATTTGGAACCCTTTGGCGCGGCCACCCTTTCCTCCTCCATCCCCTTTTGCTCCCTGGCTCCCTTGCTTTTTACCAACCCCTTCACCTTACGCGCCTTCGGTTTGCCTGCTGCTTCGCCGCGCGCAGCGTCAACTGCCCCGCGCTTTCGGGAAGGGCGAGTCCGGCCCCCCTCCTTCCCTGTACCACTCACCCGTCTGCCACGCCCGCCCCGTCCCTTCACTGGCGCCACATCCTCCTCCTCCTCCTCCTCCTCCTCCTCCTCCTCCTCCTCCTCCTCCTCTGCTGCCTCCTCCTCCTCCTCCTCCACATCCTCCTCCTCGTCGTCACCCTGCTCCTCCTCCTCCTCCTCCTCCTCCTCCTCCTCCTCCTCCTCCTCCTCCTCCTCATCCTCCTTCTCCTCCTCCTCTGCCTCCTCCACCTCCTCCTCCTCCTCCTCCTCCTCCTCATCCTCCTCCTCCTCCTCCTCCTCATCCTCCTCCTCCTCCTCCTCTTCGTCCTCCCCGCCATCATTCTCATCTTTTTCATCCTCCCCAACATCCGCGTCATCCTCCTCCGCTTCCTCTGCCACCTCCTCTCCCTCCGCATCCTCCTCCTCATCCTCCTCCTCCTCCGCATCACCGGGGTCTTCATCGCCCCGTTTCGGCTTTGTTCCCGTCGCTGCTTTCTTGCCTCTCCTTCCGCCGGATGCTTTTCTTGCTGCGGGTCGGCCCTTCTGGCGCAATGCTTGACTGCCCGCCTTGCCACTAGCTTCCTTGGCGCCTCGTGGTGTCCCAACTGCCGCGCCTCCGGCGTCGTCAGCACTACCTGTCGTCTGCCGCCTTTTCGCCCGCGTAATGAGGTCCCCGGGCACGGCGGTGTCATAATCGTCCTCCCCATCGCTCTTCCTCTGCCTACGCCTCCCCCGTCCACCAGAAGGTGGAGAGCCACCGACCAGCCCCACCGACTCGAGCTCCCCCACCTTGTCCTTATCCAGCACGGCTGCAGAAACTTCGACCACGGTCGGCCGGAGCAACGTCAGATGGTGTTGCGTTGCCGCCGCCTCGGACTCCTTGGTTGCGGCATGCTCGGCGCGGGGATCGCCTCCGTGATTGCCCTCCGTCGCCGATCCCTCCATCTCCGCCGACGGGACTGCAAGACTTGCGCTCCCTCGCCCCGGTTCTTTGTTGCCACCACTGGTGCCCTCGTTAGTCGGACCGGGCTCGGTTCCAGCAGAGGCATGATCCGCCTCTTTGTTCACTGTAGAAACACGGTTGCGTGCCGTTGGTTGCTTCCCTTTGTCTCCCACCTTCATGCCGGACTTCTTTTGACCGCGGGCGACCTTCTTTGCCACCACTTTTTTCATCCCCTTGCCACGCGCGACGGATGCATTAGTTTTTTTGGTGCCGGCGCCACCCTCCCTATCGTTCCGCTTCGACATCGTCCTTGTCGCACGGCGTCCGGCCTGTTCCTCCTCCATTGCTTGTAGACGTGTTGCACGTGTCATGGTAATTGTGGGAGGAGCAAAGTTGCAATTCGCGCGGAAGGGTTGAGCCGGTTTCGAAAGGGTTCTACAACTGAATCCCACGATGGGATTATCGACGGTCTATCACTGTTATGTGTTTCCGAAAACCGCCGCTTCAACTAAAACTGTCATAGTAGCCACTATGCTTCGCGCTAAGGCTGATCTGGAGAGGCGTGTGTCAAGGCAACGAGCAGCGTCAAAGTGTTGGCCCAGGGAGTGACGGAAGCAGGTGGGTGGGGCACGAGGGTGGTTGGGGTGGGCTGCGAGACTAGAGAGAGTCATGTAACCCTATCAGGCTATATTGGACGGTGTACGTGTAGCCACCCTAGCATAAACCCACATTCCGCTCGATCTCAGCCGCTCAATGGCTGAAGTACCTCTTGGCTAATGACTGTGTTGCGGGGGGAATCGTTTGAGATGCGTTGGCCAATCACGGTTGCCAACGCATCAATCACTACAAAGGGTAAAACCGGTGTGAAACCTACAGTGCGAAAGTACAGTGTTTTCGAGACCGCACAGTGTTACACGTAGAAGCTAAATTTTATTCAAACATACAACAATGCATTTCAACAAACTCTAAGTTGCAAATGGTTTACTACGGGGTTGGGGTAAGTTAATCGGTGATTCTTACGTCACACACACAACGACCGTCCAGAATTATTACTTGTGACAGATGTATTGTGCACTTTTAGGCTTTGCCACGATGCTTTAGGGCCAGCGGACGACATTCTAACACGATTATCAATAGTAACAAACGTGACTACGTTGTGGTATGGTGTTGCATTGGCATCCATTCTTGCACAGACATTGAACAGGGTGCTTGGAAGGAGTGGTATGAAGCACAGGCCCAACGCACAAGCGTAGATGCGTTATCGACAGCCATGGTTAGACTGTGCGACGATGCAGCGTTCAGGCCTGCGGGTTGCGCGACATGGTGAATCCGTTGTGGTATGGTGTTGCATTGGCATCCATTCTTGCACAGACATTGAACAGGGTGCTTGGAAGGAGTGGTATGAAGCACAGGCCCAACGCACAAGCGTAGATGCGTTATCGACAGCCATGGTTAGACTGTGCGACGATGCAGCGTTCAGGCCTGCGGGTTGCGCGACATGGTGAATCCGTTGTGGTATGGTGTTGCATTGGCATCCAACATTGCGTGGAGATTGAAACCGTTGTGCTATTGTACGACATTGTCATCCATTCTTGCATATTCATACAGCACGGTGCGTAGAGGTACACTACACCTCGAGAGTCACGCTATAGGTATTCGCTCCGCGCAACAATCATACGTTAGGGCATGGAGTTATTGGGTACTTCCCGTATCGTTATCAAGTAAGGGTTGTTCAACATCAGTCCGGAGGATATGAATGTTTACTAGTTATGAATGATTTGAGTGTCTTTAAGTTGTAATTGTACATTTGCATTTCCATGTTTGTTTGAAGCCTCTTGAGCTCACCTACGTGATGCCGATTTCCCCCCTATATCGAATTCGCGACACAATCACAGATCCAAACGGATCTCTTCCCGCTCTTCCAAAATCCCCCTCGACTCTCACGCACGGGTCATAAATACAAGTTCTTGACTCAATAGGCACGTCCTTCTCACCGTGCTCGCGACGCATTTACACGACCGTGAGACTTAAGATCCAGTGCATTCTCCTCTGCTCACGTCGTGGTCACTCTAGACGGGGGCGACACGCCTTGTAGGGAAGACGGCCCGTGAGGTGGGCGGTCTCTATCGTGCCTGGTAACGAGCACGCGGCTCGACATCGTTAGCCAGTCATAAACATTAGCGCCAACGTCAAGTGCCAGTCGTGCAGTGATACAAGCCGCCCACCACAGTGCTTCGCATTGGCGATGATCGTGTAGCTGTCACAGGCTTCTTGAACGGAGTACTTAATGCGTTCACAAGCTTCATCACGGCTAGTAGCTTCTTAAGCGATTTCTCGACTCTACAACGGATCTGTAACACATGGGCTCTTTACCAGGCGTCGTCTGCGAGTTCTGCAACAGATGGTTCCCCAACGCCCAAGTTTATGGCGGTCATAAGTCACGGCGGACCCCTTGCCAAGGACTATCCGCCGTGGCAAGGCCCACGCGATCTGCACCGACCGCCAGTCTTCACGCTCTGCTATTCGTCCACGACATTCTGTCGGACGCTCCAGCCGCTCCCGGTTCACCTACAGCGTCTAACGCATCCAACGCCGTCAGTGAGAGCGGTCCTCCACGCGTGCCTGAAGCTGACGTTGACGAAACTCCCAACGACGTGAACGAGGGGCCTCCTGAAGATGAACATCGACCACAACCAGGAGCTCCCGTGGCTGACACGAGTGACCATCCTGAGAGTCGGCCCGAAGGGAGTCATGCCGCGCCGCCATCAATCATCTCCGGACAGAGCAATGCCACGCCCCTCAATCCGCTCGCGTTGAAGCTGCTGCATTTCGTTCGGCGCGTGAATGGCGGAATGGGAATGGCCGAGGTTGACATCAACGGCCTGCTTCAGCTAGTAGTAGAGCCCGGCCTTGCGCCTCTTGTGATCTCGGAGCTCCGGAACTGCAAGGATCTGGAGCGGTTCGAGATGGAGCGCTTGGCAGGGCTCAATCGCGGATGGTCGGTGGCGACCTTCGAGATTGACGGTCATCCACCACAGCGCTTGCTCTTTCAAAACTCAGCCCAGGTAAGCCGCCTTTGCATTCAAGGCCGTGAAATGATGATGAGGCACACTGGGTTTGCATGTACGTAGTTATCCTTGTATTAACCGTACACCCACCTTCAGCGCCACTAACCATGCCTCTCCTCTCACCTGCCTTCGCCACCGTACACCAGGCATTCGCTGAAATGTTTGGACATCCCAACAATGCGCCCGGCTTCAAGCTCAAGGCGCGTGTTGATGAGGACCCTGATGCAGGCGGCCGTTGCTATACCACGCCTGAAACAGGAACGTGGTGGAATGATGCACAGGTAAGGAAAGACCACGTTGCCACCCCAAACCCAATCCTTCCTCATGCCCCGGTCGCTGCACTGATCTGTCAAGAGCATCTTGAGTGTTAAACTGTGTGTCCGTTGCCGCTTTGTCGTGCACTGCAGGAACACTTCGGTTGGTCCGAAGTTGTGGGGGGGATCATCTTATATTCCGATGTGACGCACATGAGCAACAACGGCCGGAAGAAGGCGTGGCCGCTCATGATGACGCTGGCCAACATCTCCCAGGCCAAGCGATGGGGGAAAGCCGGGCACACACTACTTGCCCTCCTTCCTATCCCCCCGTCTGCAATGTCTGCCGTGGAGAAGGTGATGCTCTTCCAGCGATGCGTCATCACCGTGCTGCAGCCGCTTCTTGATGGCATCGCCAGGTCCGTACTCGGTTTGCATCTTCCTAACACATCATCTCACCACCTGCATGGTATGCAAACCCTCTCTGTATGTAGCATGTCTCTTTGCCCCTCGTCGTTCTGTCAACGGGAGTTGTATGTTGGCCCCGTCCTCGCTTGGGCGGAGCCGACTTCGTGGTCCGGGGTAGGGTGCAGCCGACCTGCAGCAGTGGGCGAGTTGGTCGACGAGGTTGGTCGACCTGCACGGGGAGCCACTGCATGGGCGCCGACTTCGTGAGGGCGCCAACTTCGGGTGTCGACCTGGGCAGTCGACCAGATCTTCTGGTCGACCTGGAAAGTCGATCAGACCTTCTGGTCGACCTGGTAGGTCAACCAGCCCTTCTGGTCGACCTGGGAAGTCGACCAGACCTTCTGGTCGACCTGGTAAGTCGACCAGCCCTTCTGGTCGACCTGGTAAGTCGACCAGACCTTCTGGTCGACCTGGTAAGTCGACCAGCCCTTCTGGTCGACCTGGGAAGTCGACCAGCCCTTCTGGTCGACCTGGGAAGTCGACCAGACCTTCTGGTCGACCTGGTAAGTCGACCAGCCCTTCTGGTCGACCTGGGAAGTCGACCAGACCTTCTGGTCGACCTGGTAAGTCGACCAGCCCTTCTGGTCGACCTGGGAAGTCGACCAGACCTTCTGGTCGACCTGGTAAGTCGACCAGCCCTTCTGGTCGACCTGGGAAGTCGACCAGACCTTCTGCCGTAAGTCGACCAGCCCTTCTGGTCGACCTGAGGAGTCGACCAGACCTTCTGGTCGACCTGGTAAGTCGACCAGCCCTTCTGGTCGACCTGGGAAGTCGACCAGACCTTCTGGTCGACCCGGTAAGTCGACCAGCCCTTCTGGTCGACCTGAGGAGTCGACCAGACCTTCTGGTCGACCTGGTAAGTCGACCAGCCCTTCTGGTCGACCTGGGAAGTCGACCAGACCTTCTGGTCGACCCGGTAAGTCGACCAGCCCTTCTGGTCGACCTGAGGAGTCGACCAGACCTTCTGGTCGACCTGGAGTGACGTCGACTTGGAGCTGGTCGACCAGGGGGTAGTGGTCGACCTGGGGAGGTCGACTGGAGGTGGCCGTCGACTTGGGAGGTCGACCGGCACATACCAGAGGCAGTGGTCGACCTGGGGAGGTCGACCGGAAGTGGTCGTCGACCTGGGTGGTCGACGGGCACGCACAGGAGCCTCTGGTCGACCTGGTTGCTCGGTCGACCAGGTTACCTGGGTGACGAGGTTCTGCGGAG